AGCTTAATATCACTTCCCTAGTACTTCTTTTTTTAGGCAACAGGTCTACAAATTATTTAGGAAACCTCAGAAGTACTTATACTTAGATCAAACCTGACTAAAGCAGAATCTTGTTTACATACACATAAATACCCTGTAACTGAAGACAGAATAGTTAAATCATAGCAACTAAGCCCACTGAATAAAATTATGTTAATATTATGAAGTCTTTTTGGTAAGAACTGTGTCTTCATTGGAGTTCATACATTAAATAAACACCAGATGTCATATCACATTAAAAACATTCTAACATTGATGTTTATTATAGATTCCTGTTTTGATTAATATTTCCTCCTTGACTATTCCCCATTTTCCTCCATTTCTCTTCATTTTCTACTCAAAGAGAATATTCCTAGTATTTCTCTGGGTAGATTCTATAGCAAACTGTCTAAGAGATAAACAATACAAACAGCCAAATCAAATGCATTGCTACCATTGCTACTTAATTACAGTTCATTTACTCCCTGTTTGTCATCTTGCATTCATTGCAGCACAGAAACCAAGCAGTCAGAAAAACCAGAGACTCTATAATACATTAGGCTCATGCACTACTTTCTATTCCTTTTCCAATTTCAGTCTCTGTCCCTTAGAAATAACTTTGAAGCAGCAGCTTTGATGCAGATCAAAGTGAAGACTTTTGCACAAACCTCAGAACTATTAGGTCCCCAGCGTTTCTTTTCCATTTTTGCAGACTTTTGCAGTTTTTTTGCAGATTTCTGCAGATTTTTGCAGAGCTTCAATCAATGATTTTTTGATGAAGCAAAAGGGATTCATGTTTACAGGTATATTGAGAATAAGTATGTTACACATAGTAATTTGCACAAACTATTTTACACTATAGAGTTTCACATAAGTATCCATATTCAAGCATTCACTATGATTGTCTCATGCTTCTTCCACAGATCTCTGCATACATTTCTCTCTTATTACCATCACAGATAGGTTTACTGAACTGTGAAGAATCTTCAGAATCTTCTGGAAGGCTGCATTCTCTTTAACCTCACCATGTACTAATGAATTGGTCTTAAAGTCTGTAGGTTTCTGTTGCTTTAAAGGATTTGGTAGGTTGCACAATGATCTCTACACAGAATTTCTAGCAGGAAAAAAGTGGGGAAGCAAAAGTAAACTATGGCAAACTAAGATAATGCATTACCATCCATGGAGACTATGATAAATACCATGCATGTGTTAAGGGAGAGGAAAAGTTACATTTCTTTGGATATACTCAAGGGTGTAAGGACACTGGGCCAAGGAGGAGACAGATTGTATTCTGAAGATGTCCTTATCAACTGGTCACTCAGAAATAAAGATTTTTCTGTACAACAACAAGCACCCTTGGCTTAATGTTATGCTGCCACAGGATATACCATGCTTACACAACCAGTGATACTGAAGCAAACTTGTATAGTTACTGGCAAACATTTGGTTCTCTCACACTCACACAACTCCCTATACTTAATCCCTTCCACAGCAAGGGAAAGCCCTTAGTTTTCACTGTACTCAAATTTCTTTTCAAGTATTTTCTCACAGGCAGAGCTGTCTTAAACCACAGTTTCAGCAAATTCCTGCTTAAGAGAGGATATAAAGTAAGATGCCAAAACACATATCTGCAGAAACATTACCTATTAGAAATGCATGATGAGTGATTATGGAGCAATCAGGGAAAAACAAAATACTTCTCTTAAAAAAAGTATGGTGAAAATACATGCTTATCTGTGTTCCTCTTCACATTCTAGCAGTGCTGGGAGTCTAGGCAGATATTTGTTGCTTCCCTTCACTGGTTCTCACTCTGCAGCTGAGTGTTTGGTGCAGCTGAGTGTTTGGTGTGACTTGTGTCACTACTTGCAGAGTTTCAGCCTGGAAATTTTCATAGCTTCATGAAAATTTTCATAGCTGGTCCATCAAAGTTCCTTGGCTGTTCTGCCAGAGAAATAAGATCCAAAGATGCCTCTTTAATATAAAACTGCTCCATGATCTCAGGGCCATCCTTAACAAGCCTTCTGGTGTCCTATCCATCAACATGAACCTCAGTTTAAGTTGAGCCACGCATGATCTAGACTCAAAGCTCATTAAGTGTTTGCTAGTTGCAACCAGGATGCTTCCTGTATAATTTGAGCCAATAAAAATGAAAAAAAAATAAACTCCTTTTCATTATTTTAAAAATGGGGAAATGACATGATGTCTCAACTTCTTCCCCCTCAATGTATTCATTTTCAGCAAAACATTCACTGTATTTAGAACAGCACAACAGATTTCTTTATTCTAACCCATATTTCCTTGTTGCTGTCAGAAAAACACATTTTTTTCCCTGACAAGCTTTATTTCAGGTAGTGTTAGGCTGTCTGTTGAAGCACACAACAGATATTGCCTACACAATACCTCTTCAGCAAGAAAATGCAGGCAACAGCTTATAAAAACTTGCCTGACTATGAAAGGTGAGATTGGATGGTATGTCTGGAGTAAAACCAAGTTCCTCTGAAAAATGTGACAAGTAATAGCTAAATCCCAATGGTAACTCCATTTAACGGCAACTCCATTAAAAGGAAGGTTAGGATATATGTTTTTAAGGATATAAAAACATCAGAAGTTAAAAAGTAGTACACAGAAAGCTAAAATCTGAGAGAAACACAGCAGTGTGCTATTTTCTGTTGAAGTCCTTGATCCTATATGCAAATGAACTATCACACACACAAATTTTTCTCAGTGTTTGTCACTTGCAGCTTCTAATCTAATTAGTAGTTTTAAAATACTTTTTAAAAATACTTTCAGACGTGTAATCTTTTTCATCCCATCCTGTCCCTATGATCAGCAATAGTACAGACAAATTATATGGACCCTCATAATGAGCCAGGTCTGTTCCTTTGTAGCAGACTCTTTGCAGCATCAAAATGAACTGAAATTGTGGCTTGAAGTCTACACTTAATAACTGTGGCCGTTCAGACCACTTTTATAATTGGTATTTGTCACTGACCCGTATCTATCTTCACCTGTATGTGTCTCAACTATTTAAATTCTAAACCAAATCCCCTGTAACACAGCAGGTAATAAATGCTCTCAGAGATACTACAAGCCCTGTTAAAACACTTTCTCCCACACGGGTTCAGGCTGTGTCTTGGCTAGCAGCATGAAAAAATAATTCAGCTCTTCTAAACTTCAGGGTATGATTTATGTCAATTCAGATCTTGCATGAATTTTGCTTTTCACATTTATCTATTTCTTTTAATCTGGTTTCCCTGTCCTCCATTTCATACAGCTCTGGTTATAAAACTACTTTTTTCCTGAAATTCTCAGCAGCTAATTTGTATAAAGAATATATATTACTGACGGGAAGCTTAGGGATATTAGGAAAGGTTGTCTGTGATTTCAATTGATTAGTTTCTTTGCTAGGTTCATTGATATCCTTCACTATGTACTGGGAAGAGTTTTATTTCCTAGCACAGTATTGAGTTGCAAGACCATATTAAATGCCCTTTGAAATGTGAAGATTATGGGGGTTTAGGTCCTGGGTTACCAGTTTTCTCTGTTCTCTTCATAGTGATAAAATTCTTGAAATTTTTTCACATTTTCCTCCAAGATGGCTGAAGGAAACAAAGCCAAATGGAAATCTGGGTAGTAGGAATGCAAACTAGTCTCACACAGAAGCCTTCAGAGCACAAGACACACCATGCTGGAACAGACTGGAGTAGTAAGGACAGGGCAGTACTTTTATAAAACAACAAATACACTTGCTTGACAGGTTACATGCTATGCCACTATCTGAATTTCAGAAAAAGAGGCATATTCCTGAAGGTTTCCTCAGCTCAACATTAGTGAGAGCGTTTTGAAACTCAAGGATGGTCAGACCTATACTTTAACCTAAATTAAAGAATAGAGGATTATTCATTGTTATCCAATTTTGCAACATTTTACACACTCAAGTCTTTACAGTAATTTAGACATACTTAATCTCTTCTTAAGCTAAAGATATGTGAAATCTGAAGTTTCCTCAGTTGTTTTCTATGTTTACTGGTTAATCTGTGCTTCAGTAAGTATTATAATCCACTGCAAAACTCCCTTCATAGGCAGGTTCTCTTTTCAGCTGCAGTCTGTGGCGTTCATTACCCTGCAGGAGTCATATAGCAGAGACAGATTTTTCTCTTAATGAATACTAAAGTGGAATGGTTGAACCTAAAAGAGAGACTCACTGGCAAGGTTTTAATGGCAAGACAGCTCCAGTGAGACCACTAAGTCTGAATATCACATCGATTTAGGTGTCTGATTAAAAAGATAGGACTATTAGCCTTAGGCACTCTGTTCAAAATACAAAACTTAAAATTTATAATCACTTCTTAGTGTTTTCAATTTAATTTTACTGAAAATTTGTAGGTTTGCATAAAAATCAGAAAGTACAAAAGGGTACTTCCAAAGTTAATACCTCTTCCTGTCCCTTTGCTAGTCCACAAGGAAAATAATAGTGTCCTTTATCTCTAAGTGTTAAAGGCTCCCAAACCCTGTTCATGCTTCTTAATACTGACAAAAGCTGAGCTCGTTTTTGATAAATCTACAGTCAGGAGACCAGGGTAAGCACCAAGCTGCCTTTGATCATCTTCTCTGATGAATATTGTATAAAGACAAAATAACATGTGGTAAGAGAGATACAGATTTACTCTTCCTGCTTTTGCTGCTATTACAGTGACACCTGCTGTCTCATTCTGCCTTTTTAAGTAAGAAATGCCTAAGAAAAAAAAAGAGGCAGCTTCAGAAATAACCTTTACAATCATTCTAGTTACTCGAAAAAACATTTCCCCGAAGTGCATTATTCAGTCTGGTTCACGTACACTGTCACATTTTCAGGAGTGGTGGATTGACTCTGGCTGGATGCCAGGTGCCCACCCAAGTCAGAGGGGAGAGAAGGGAAGAGCAACAGGGTAACTCACAGAGAGAAAAAATATACCTGCTGGCAGGATCCTGACCATTTCTCCGGAGAGCTGATGCTTTATAGAAAAAAAAGGAATCAATAAACAAATAAATAAATAATCAGCAATTGATGCTACATTTGAGATTCGCCCAGAGCAGGAGCAGCAGTCTGGCTGCGGCAATCGTTTTAACAGACCGCGGCCTTGCAGCCGCGTGGTCTCAGCAGCATTTAACTACGGGACACCCAAAACTCCTGCGAGAACCATCACCGCCATCCCGGGCAGGGGTGTGCAGCTCCACGGGCCGGGACCTCTGCTGACACCCCGTGGCTCTAACACAAAATGGCATCAGGGTGCTCCTCACAGAATGACGTCCCCGTGGCTCTAGCACAAAATGACCTCAGGGTGCTCCTCACAGAATGACGTCGAGGTGGCTCTAACACAAAATGACGGCAAGGCTCGGAGGGCAGTGACGGACACCTCCCGGTGCAGCAGCTCGGGGCCTGGCAGCAGTGCCCGCCCAGCCCTCTCTGCCCCCTGACCTGTCCGCAGCACCGTGCTGGGCCGCACCCGCCTCCGGCCTCAGCCAGAAACCCCATGGCCCCGGCACCGGAGAGCTCTTGTAGCCTGTGAAGGAAGCAGACACGTCGCACCGGGGCACCCGGCACGGCTGGGCCCCTGCCCAGCGCCTGAGCCGGGGATCGAGTCACCGGCGCCGCTTGGTGCCCAGGGTCCTGACACAGGCCTGCTGGCAAGGAGCTCTTGCCCCAGCACAGCACATCACACTAGCTCACAGCAGCACCGGGAGATTCCCTGTGTGGGGATCTACCGGAGTCGCGCACACAGGGCAGTTTTTGCAAATGCAGCTGGCAGTCCTTGCCCACCCAGCAGCGGAGATGCTGCAGGCAGAAATATGGGCATACAGACTTGAGGTAAGTGTCAGCTTATTCTGTAATGTGAGATTTTTAAGAAGTTAATGACGGTAAGCTGAAAAATGCACGGTTTTTTCTGGATTTCCTCCAAAGGGATTCAGGGAGATATTTGATTCATACAAAGCCCAACACGTATGTTCTCATACCCTTAATGAGTGAGTTCACCTTGCTCAGCACAATACATAGCAGAGTGAATGGCAAGGGCTAATAAGATAAATAATATCCTGGGCCAAAGAATCCAACACTGGAAGGACTAAATCTTAAAATTTGGCTATTTGAGATATTACTGAAGATTCGCTAACCCATAAGTAAAAGAAAGTTTGTGTTGTACTATTCTGAAAAAGTAATAAATTAAATTCTAGTTAAGTATCTCTTCTGAACACAGAATAAAGACAAGCAAGCCTTTATGTGAAGTGAAATTTTAGTGCAATAAAAAATCAAGCACTAAAAAGAATAAACACAGTAAGTAGGAAAGTAATGTTTATTCTTGTATTTCAGGTCAAAATTTTAATAGTTACCTCTAATTGAATCCAAATAATGACTGACATGCTACGGCACAAAACCCCATATCAAGTTAGAGAATGATGACATTTGCCCCCATGGACATGTCTCACCAAGATATTTGTTACCAAGTCCATCATCTGCACTGATGTAATTATATATTATCTCTATAGAGAACTGGCAACACAGGGATCATGGACCTAACAGAACCTATGTATAAATTGTCATAGGCAAACATAAATATGTTAGCAGTTTTGTGTCAATGAAGAAGGCTAGACTGGGCAAATACATGGCCAGTTAAAAGAAAAGTCTTTAAAAACAAAGACCCATGCGAGAAGGAGCTATTAATGTCATTTATATATCATTTGCTGACCATTTTTGAAGTGAAGGGGGGAACCCCACTAGCTTCCAAACTATTTCTCTTATAGTAGAACCAGCAAACCAGTCTTTCTCGGTCCAAACACCAAAACCATATTAGTGAGATAATGAAATTGGCGAGATAATGGAAATGAACACTGTTCACAACCCATGGTCACACTTGTAGGTACTGCTGCAAACTCTGAGTCTGCCGTTAGCAATAAGCTAGAATTTTATGCTAGTTCTGGGCCTTTTTGTTGTTTGTCGTGGCTTTCTTCCTAATTCTTTAAATAAATATTTGACTTCAAAAGACCTTCAGAACTGCTACATGAAGTTTTTCCTTCAGCAATGTTCAAACCTATCTGGATCTGGGAGAGGAGGTGAGCTGAACAAAGATGAAAGGCAGCAGATTCAACCACTAAGTGTGACCATTATGTAACCATTCAGCAACTTTTCCTACTGTGCTTAGGGAGCCCCTTCTCTAAATCCACACCTACAACCTGGCAATGTGGGGCTTGCCTTGGACAACATTAGGTCTGGAAGCTCTGTTAAGAGCAAATTGTTATTTCATTTTTAAGAAGCAAAGGGAATAAACAAGCTACAAGTCAGGGGAAAAGTTTAGTGTAATACATGCCAGAGGCAATAGGTTCCTACATCTTTATTCACTCTCTTACAAAACCACAGTCTTTTCATTTGAAGTCTCATAGGCAATCACATAGCAACATTGTCACCTGCAGCGATTTTGAAGACATCAAATAAAGGAAACTGTATTTAGATATCTCAGGTATGGAGAAATTATTTAGAAGAGATTAAGGAAATTCAAAATATGATGGTCAAACATTTTTCTTTAAGAAAGCATTACCAGTAATACAAACATGAATTTCCATTCTCAAATCTTTACCGATTTTCTTATGGCAGCACCCAAACAATGTAAACATAAAACTAGAATTTTATCTGTCATTGGAATGCCAGAGGCTCTGGAGTTCAGAGCAGACCTTTGTAAACCAAATGAGTGCAGTCCAGTATATCAATGCACTCTCCTCATAATTTTCCAATCTTTTTAGTGAAATATGTTTAGCCTTTCTGGTGTAAAAGTTTTGCTTGTGACCATTGTTCACCCCCCATAAACAAAGCAACCACCTGTTATTTAAAACTGGAGTAACAGAAGGACTGAGCACCTTCAACCTACTGAAATCAATGCTAGTTCAGTTTCTATACAGTCTTGTGAGTCTGACCTTCATCTCATTTTTCCTTTCATCCAAAGCTGACTGTAAAATTTGGTTCAAAGGAATAAAGAAGTGAAAGACATTTCTGGTCTGGATGGCAGTGGAAGAGCTCAATCTCTACAGAAAATCAGAAGCATTCCAGTGGAGCTTGACAACCAGAGCAGACTTGGTAGGTACTGACACTTGTCAGCTTGTCTGCCATACAGGAACATACTTGATATGGAAATTTTATGAAAAGCAGTGCCAGATGTTCTTATACTTAGCAACCCACTTACCCTACTAATTTCTTGGTGTCAGCTCCAGGAGAGCCAAATCTTTATAAGGAAAAACAACTTAATACAGAAAAGATTTCTATCAGCAATAAGTATTCATTTTTCTGCATATTCTTCAAGAGGCAGACAAGAAATGGAAGCCACCATTAGCCAGAACAACACTGTTAACAAGAAACATTAGGCCACCTCTTTGGAATTGGAATATATGCCAGACACTTGACACAAGGTTCTATCAAGCAAAAACAAAGTACAAATCAGAGGTGAGTATTGTAAAAATGTCAGACTGTGCAATCAGGGTTTACCTGTGTTTTACCTTCAGTGCTTACCCTTCATGCTGCAGGCAGAAAACCTAGACTAGTCAAAGACTTTGGCTTTGTGCTCTTCACCTTCTCCTCTATGTCACTGTATGAGATGCAGCCAGTGCATCTCAGCACAGTCCTACTATCTCACAGAAATAACATGCAGAATAAGCAAAGCTGTGCAACAAGAGAGAACTGCTAAGAAAGGAAGAAAAAACAGATTTTGTGGAAGGCTTAACAGCATAACTTGACACAGGATGAGCTCACAAACAAACTGGAGTCTCCAAATCTGTCAGGATTAGTGCCCGAGCTGCAGCAGCATGATATACCTGCAACATCAGTTCTGCCAAGAACTTTGCTTGAGCTGTGGAAAGGTACAGCTTACTGCCTTTTCTTTCCTTTGATGAATTAAGTATTAAGGAAAGAAAATAATTTATATATTGGAATTATATAAGAACAGGTAAAAAATAAAATTACTCACATTTTCTACAGCCAAAGTTGTAGTCATAAGTTAGCATAAATAATTGAAAGTAATACTAAAGCAGTGGGAAGGAAAGATGGTGGCAAGTCTGCCACCTTCTCTGTATTTCCACAGGAAATGTAGTTTTACATTCGCAGTTCTGTGCACAATTTCAGGCAGTAGGAAAAGAAAAACTGAACAGGCTTAGAATGAGTAAGGTGACAAAAGAGTACCTTGATTCACTGAAGTAAGGGAGCAAAATCTTTCATGTCTGTAGCAAAAAAGAGCCTATTCAGAGGAATTGTTTCCAAATTAGGCTCTGATACTTATCCAAATTATGAATCTATTTTCAGATTTTCTGAATCCTCTTACATAGGGTCACCAGCAGTTTGATGGAGCCACCCAAGATCTGGGAAAGAGAACCAACCTGCCATGTCTCAGTTTTTGTAGTTTCCAGCTGTGGCTGTGGCTGGAAGGGTGATGCATAGCACTGCTAGTGAATTACATTACAGAAATGTAATGTTTTCAGGGTTTGTATATTTTTTGGTTTGTGGGTTTTGGGCTTTTGGGGGGGTTTGTGTGTGGTTGTGTGATGGATTTTGTTGGTTGGTTGAATCTGGGACTTGTTTGGGTTTTCGGTTTGTTTTTTTGTTGTTTTAATTTCTTTGCTTTTAAAGAAAGTCTGAAAATGTTATTGAAAACTAAAATTCTTGAAATGTTCTTTTCAGTTGTTTCACTCCTGCATAAACATTCCCATTAATATCTTATGCAGAAATGTCCATTTCAGCTAATTTCTTAATTTTTTGTCTGGGAAAAAAAAAAAAAAAAATGAAGAGTAAAGTTTTTGAAGAAGTTAAAATGAATTGCGTAGGACTTCAGGGTATTTCCTGTACAAGCTAAAACTTCTAAATGGCTGCCAAGTTCTTCTTTTCCTGATTTCACAGACAGTGTCTCCAGTCTTGATGGCCACTGGAGTTTTCCCTTCCCAATATTTCTACACAGAAGCTCTGTATTACTTCTGGGTCCCTCCTGCACAGCCAGGGTGTCTGATAGAATAGCCTAAATCTTGAGATGCGTTGATTAAAAAGTACAGGGTAGTTGGCCAAAGAGAACCTTTGACGTCTTGCTCTGTTGGCTGCCTGCCAAAGAGCTTTACTTTGCCAGCAGGTTGTCAAGTGACTTACTAAGAATTGTTTCAGTGTTGCATTAAAAACAAAGGAATGCACAAAGTTAACCACTATTTATATGGCAGATACTTTTACAGTAGGGTTTCTGTCCCTTCGGATTGGAAAAATATTTAAAACACTTTTTAGCTAGGAAAAATGCACTTCCATAATACAGTAAGCACTGGAAAAACAATTAAAATCTACTGTAAGAAGAGGAGTGGACAAGACGTGAAGAAAAAAAAAAAAATTCAGCTATATGTTCAGCATTGAAATATCAACACAATATATATATTTTCAGTCAATCAAAACACAGAGATTTTGAAGGTGTTAAAAAGGCATGTCTGGAAGTATAGACAGAAATGTCAAATTGCTGAGCTATAGTGAAGGCTGAGAATAGAGATCAGAAATCACGGTGGCTGGAAAATGCAGTACTGAGCAGACACTGCATTTCCTGACCTCATGATCTCACAACAGTTCTGCAGTGCATGTCAGTACCTAGAAATGTAATTATTGCTGGGAAGACACTTTATTTTTTCTGGGAATCTGAATCACACATTATTCAGTCAGCAATATTTCAAAGACTAGCTTGAGAAAAATCACTACTGAGAAAATATCAGCTGAGAAGTAGTGATCCTCCTACAGCATTGATGAAGTTAGTACAGCTTTTAGAAAAAGAGAAAGAAAATGGATGTTTTCTGCAAGCTATATGAGCTTTTAGCATGATAATTACTAGGAAATATTTTCTGTAAACAGCAATGTATTCAGATTAGTAAAGTCCTAATCAACAAAATTACTATGTTTTGATTTTGGTAGAAAGAAGTAAATATTCTGAGGGATTCATCATTGGTGATAAGACCCTCCTTCCAAAGTACTGCTCCAGTTTTCTCCAGCTTGTTAAAAAAGTGTTTTCTCTGGGTTCCTAAAATATCTATGTGACATGAATGACTTCACTGCAGCTTATTCCCTAAATATCAGGAAACCATAGGACAAGGTGCCCTACAACGTACAGCACTGGTTTTTTTTAAAGGGACAAATGTCCATTACAGCCCAACAGTTTCTTCAGGCATACGAACACCTTAATAGACGTCTCATCTTTCCTGCATACTTAACATGAGGGGTTTTTTTCCCTTGGAACTTAAATTCCCACAGAGATTTATACCTCAGAACATACAAAAAGCACCAAAATGCTGCATCCTTATCAGTTTCAGGGCAAGATACTTGTTTTTCTTCTACCTACTCACTCTTCCTCATCATTTGTCACTCCTCAAGCTTAACACCTTGATTTTTGGCGTAGGAAAGTATTTGCCTCCAACAAAAACCAGTAAGTAACCAGAAAGATGGAACAGTATTAGGATTCAAACCCTAAAGATGTTGAGCCAGCCATCATGAAAAGTAAGATTGCCCAGAAGAGACCTGAATGTCTTAAGATGTGATTGGGATAAGGATTGAGAAGTGGTCATGCCATGGTAGGAGGCCATCTTGAAATCAGTTACTAAATTACTTTTATTAGGAGTCAGAAAATATATTAGCATCATATACTTTAGCATCATTTCATCCTTCAGTGACCTATAACAGAGGAAATCCCTTCTTTATGAATAACACACTATCTGACATAAAAATCTATCCAGGCCTTGATTTCTTCTATCTGTAAGGTTCTCACAGGAAAAGAGTAACTATTCAGTAAATACAATAAAAAGAAAAAAAAGTTCAGTGATCCTTCTTATGCTTTGCAATTTCCTGCTTTACTGAATACCAGCAAATTACACATCTCCCTGAAGTGTTATCTTTCTTTGCCTGTTTGTAAAGGTTGTGTGTAGATTTCACATTTTAGTTTCTTACTGATATTTTTATGCTTCTGTGGAATAAAACTACTAGGATGCAATGGAATGTCCCTTTTAATCTGTACAGCAAGATGAATATTATGACTGTACCAGGAGAAAGATAAAAGGTAAAAATGGAACAGGACAGGTTTTTTTTCTTTCACTCATTACATGCTCAAATTTGTGACACTAGAGAAAATAGTCTAGGTTCACAGTTAAACATTATTTAAATTATTAATGGTATCATGTGCTCAGAGTCTCCTACTTATTTAACTGTGTCTCTTGATATAGATCATGTACAGATGCACCTATAGGGATCGTCCTTTGAGTTTCCAGTGCTCAGTTTTTGGAAGGTAGCATCCCAAATATTGAGTGTGACTCCTGGAAGGGCTAAGTAAACACACAGGCTAAGTGCTGAGGACTACTAATCCAGGAATACTCACAGATGCTCAGTATCTCAGAGATCTGACACTCTCTTACTTTACCTCGCCTTCCTTCTCTCAATGAGAGTGTTGAACCCTTCTTGTCTACACTTTAAAACCCCACAAAAAAGCAACACAAGAAAAAGAAAAAAAAAAACCAAAACCACAAAACAGCAACAACAGCAGCAACAACAACCATGAAATTGCATACATTCTGGGAAAACTTGGTGAAGAAATGTCAGGTTTCCTGCATTGTTCTCTTTAAATCAAATATTTAAAGAAAAATCAGTGCTGGTGGTGATGTATATAGTGTGCTATTATCACAAAGATCTCCACAGAAGAAATGTATCTTAATCCCAGAACCAAAGCCCAGTAATACAACCCTTTCAATACAAACCCATAATAAACCTTCTGCCACTAGAAGGCAGCAAAGCTCCAATAGTAACATACATTTCATTTCTTTGACACAGGACAGGGAGAAAATTCTGTTAATAAAATGAAATATTATTTTCCCTGTGTGCACACTCAGTGGTTTATGATTTCTCTCATATTTTTGCTCTTAGTTCATATGCATAACTGAAGAGTATTCATTTGCAGTGAGTTACTTAAACCTCTGTATCCGTGCCTGTCAGTGGCAAAGAGACTGTTAGCTGAAAGAAAGCCAAAGTAATTTCACAGATTAGCTGATGTAAGTATAAAATGTGAATCAGAAAGTAGGGTATCACTGAGTTCCCCTGAGGTAATATCTATGTCTACATCCATAAATATCCAAAATGTTTATCTCTCCACTTTGTGTGCATCTAGTGCACTCTAGTCTCCAAAATTAATCTTACGGTATAGGTATTATACTACTAAACTTTTCAAATGAGGAATCCCAGTTTTCACAGAGTCCCTGGCATATCTGAGCTCTATGTTAGTGAGATAACCCTACTGCTTTTCAATATCAGTAAAAGGCACTGCCAATGATATTCCCAGCTCAGATTTCCTCAGCTATCTACAAGCTTCTGCACAGGATACAAAAGCCTTCAGCAAAACCCAGCCACCGGCTTATATTGTGTATTGAAATAAACAAACTCAAAGTCTAGGTCCTAAAGTCAGTGTAAGACTTATAAAGGCCATGGAGCACTGTTCTGCAAATCCTGGAAAGTCTTCTCCCTAAGTTATTGGTAAATGATGGAGGGATAGGGCATTCACAAGGCAGCAATCTTAGGGCACCTAAGACCAAAGTGCTGCAGACACAGAGGCCTCCAAGAAACATTGTGAAATATTTCTAACAGACAAATCTAAACATTAACAAATGTTAATAGGAGATACAACACTCCTGATCTGTGTCTGGCAATGCAGCATGTGTGTCCTTTCCAAAATACTGCCCTTTCAACTCAATAATAATTTTCACAGATCTTGGAACTCCTAGGAGTTTGTGGGACACTTCATGAGAGAATGCAGGAAGTGTGATCCCTAACTTACTTCTGTGCCTAGGATCCCCCCACCACTGCCATCAGTCCCAGCTCCAGCATGAGGACCAGAGTTATTCCGGGTCATCCTGCTGCCCAAGAGGGGAAATATGGGCAGGAAGGCAGGGCTTTGGTCAGGCACATCACTGTGCTTCAGACTGAAGTGAGAAAAAAGGGAAGACATACACATGTGCACAGGCCCCCACACTGAAAATATTCAGAAATTTGACAACAAGTAAAAATCAATAAAATATGCTTGATTAACAATCAGTACAGAATAGAGCAAGAAAATTATTCAGAATGCTCAGTTTGGTCTAAATTTTTTATCATCTCTCAGTTTGTGAAAATTTTCAGAGTATCACTTGCAGTTTCATGACTAAATCACTATGAAAATTTAAAAATCCACATTAAATTAAATTTTTCATGCTCATTTAACAAATAACTTGCAAATGAACATAGAGATGAGCAAACATAGATTAAAAAGATCCTGTCTCAAGCCTTTTGCTTTCACCCTGAACACAAAGCATGACTGAGTCACCAGTCAGTAATGTGGACACATCTGTTCTCATTAATTCTAAAGGGCAAAAAGCAGTGCAAAACTTCTTCTCTCTTAAGATTTTGGACAGGATTTAGGTAAAACATTTTTTCTGTAGCAATATATTTTATTTCTACAAGGCTCAATATTCTTCTCAACTTGGCTCACAGATCATGGTCTGTAGTAATACTAATATAATGCAAAGTAGTGGGGATCTCAGGGTGGTGTGGGAAG